CTTTACACACTTTCGCGAGCTGAGCTAATTTATTGCTGAGTGCACAGGAGCTGAAAATCCACTTTATTGGCAACACTATTATTATCGGACAGCCAAATGACACGCCCAGCCCACGACAATAACCTACTCAAATCTCAGCCAAAAACGCATAAAAACTTTTAACGAAACTGATGAAAAAAAAAAAAAAAAAAAAAAAATGGAAAATATTTTGCCAAAGGCTGATTTCCTGCAGCTGGCAATTCGTCAACGGGTTCGACTCCTAATAGGGAAATAATTAAAGTCTAACGTGCAACAATTTGGCGTCTGGTTGGCGAGATAAAAACGCGACCAATTGATGGCAATTGCATAGCTGGCTGAATAACGATATGGGGGTTCCCATGTGACACAGTTTCGCGTTTACGTCTTCACTTCAGTTGTCTCTCTATCTAACACACACACACACACACTGTCCCTCTCTGCTGTTGTCTCTTTCTCTGTCTATCAGCTGCGTTGGCCACGCTGCTGTTCCTCAGGTAAGTTCCGATTAGCTCACTGATGATTCTTTATCCCAGCATCTGGCGCATTCACCTCTATCAGCGGCACACAAAGAGCAGAAAAAGAGAAAAACTGTTGATGAAAATGGGAAAAAAAAACTTTGGCGGAAAAAGGGGAAGCTTTGGATGCACTATGCGCTTTTATGAGAAATGATTTGCGATTTGTGTGCATTCGTTTGAGTTTTATAGACGTTTCATTACCAGCCAACATTTTCCCTACTCTCTGTTGTAAAAAAAGAACGAAAAAGAGGAATTTCCACAATTCTTTTTTTGTTGTTTGTTTTTGCACTGCTTAAATGAAAATGCATGGAAAATTGCAACTAACTGGCATGCAATTGGCTGCGAGAGGGCGCGTGTGGGCGTGGCGCATGATATTTGCATGCGTTTTTAGTGCGCACTGAATGTTTAATGCGTTGCACAACACTGACAATGTTGCTGCCATTCAATTGGCATTGATTACAGCTAAAGCTCAGCTCTGCATTTCGGCTGCCCTTTAAACATTGAGTTGAAAAATACCAGACGAGGGCAAAGCGTGTAAATTTACGTAGAAATATGTAAGAATTTATATATAAATAAAATAAATTTGCAAGCATTTGTTGATGAGTGTGCAAACTTTTATATATGTAAGTGCGACAAGTGTGAGCTATAGAAAAGGTCACCTGACATGCACTGATATCGATAACTGATCGATAACAAATATTCTGTTAATATATTGCTACATATTGATAAAAGTATATTGAATTGACCTCCATGATCTCTCAATGATCTGGGCTTCAAATGCCAGCACATTGAGTTCTGAATGCAGATTCTTCTTCTTCAAGGAACGCTGTCCGTTCGTGTCAAGTGTTTGTTCAACCTGAATGGCCTGGCGAGGGCGATTTTATACTCATTTCTGTTTGCTTTTGGTCTCTGGGCAACCCCTGGCGTTGCGAATGTTGCAAGACACGCGTGCTCACGCCGGGAGACAAAGCGCAAATGTCACGTTATCCCAGTGAAAGAATGAGCCAGCGGGCAAGGCGTACGCTCAATGTCTTTTCAATGGCGTTTAAAATGCAGCAATTAAACCGCAATTTCTATAAAAAATTACGCCTCGAATGCGAAAGAAAACAATTAAGGCGTGTGAGCAAGGACCAAGCCGTAAGCAGCAAGCAGCTAAGAAGAGAAGGGTGCAGGAAGCGAGGAGCCAGTCAGGTCGGCCAGTGGCAGCGACGATGGCAGAGAGGCCCTGACAACAATTACGAGATCCATTTAACTTTGGCAGGATGCGAGGAATGCGAATGCGACACATGTCGCAAAACGCAGCGGGAGACGGCGAAAGTCAACGGCGACGTCAACAAAACTGGCGACATGCCGACTAACACACACACACACACACACACACACACACAGGCACACACACACTGTCAGATGCTGAAAGACATTCGCATTCATGTCCTGCGTTAAAAAGTCACAAAAATAAAAGGAGAGACAAAGCTGACAGACGGGAGTGACTGACTAGAAGATGCCTAATGCACAAGAAATTTTGACTCAGCTAACAAGTTATATCAACTCTCAGTTCTGATCAGTCCATGATCGGGTAGACAGGCCAACAGACTGAGGGCTATAGCCTCATCAGAAATATATATACTTTTTGATGTCTGCCACGCATCTTTCTGCCTGTTACACACATTTCCATAGAGCTAGCATACCCCAAATTTCCTATTTTCAATGAGTATGTACACATACACACACACACATATATATATCTAAAAGGGCGAACAACTTGAATGTCGCCTCGCTAAAAGTGCACAAATCTTGGCAAACGTTGCAAATATGAAGCGGGACGAGTCCTGCCAGAGCAGACAATCCACACAGGATGTTTTTGCGCTCATTATGCGCCAGCTGCAGCAACACCAGCACCAACATGCAACATATGCGTGTGTGTGTGTGTATGTGTGGGTGTGTGTGTGTTTGTGTGATTGTGTGCTTTGTTGCGCCTTGGCATAAACATAAAGTTCAAGCAATGAAACGCATTTCGATGCTTAACTTAATTCAAAGCATCGACTGACATGATACCCTGCAAAATAAACTCAGCGAAAGGAAATTAATATTGCTATATTTATATAAATAATATTAAACTAAATTAATATTGCTAAATTTATATAAATAATATTAAATTATTATTATTATTTTTTTTTTTTTACATATGTAGATCTATATATATTATTAACATTTATTTTAATGTACATACATTTTTTTATATTCTATAATATTCGTAATCCATTATTTCTTATTAACTCATGAGAAATTATAGCTACTATAAGCTATTCTGCTCTGTAGATTTTCTTCCAAGAAGAGAGTATCTAGGCGTCGGCTCTTTTGATGTAGTTTTACTTTCTTTTGGTATGTAAATAAATAAAAGTGATGTATGTGTCTGCAGCTGCATATGTGTTTATGTATTCACGGGTGTGTGTGTGTGTCGGAGTTTGTTGTGCTTTCAGGTGCTTGTGTGTGTGAGAGTGTGTGTGTAATTGAGTTTCACTTGGAGCCCGCCTGACATTGACTTCATTCGGGACGCTACTGGCGTAAAGACAAATAGGCACAGCACAGACAGTGGAACAGCGGTCCTGGGCCCAAGGAGGCGGGTTGCGGCCGGATGCCTGAGAAAGGCTCACATTTTATTTGTTGAAGTGCAAGAAAAGCAGAAGTCAAAAAGGGCTTAATGCACTTAAGAATTATGCGAAGCATGAGCGAAATAAAGCACAAGAAAGAACTGGAGATATTGTCAACAGGCTTTAGAGGGTGTGTGAGGGCATAGATGAGGGGTGTTTGTGAGGGTGTGTGCGACACGAGACAGCAGTTGCTTGAGCTCTGCGATTATAATGCATTCCTACTTAATCCATGAGCGAAGCAACTGCAGTAAATTGGATTTGGAAATTTCGCGTGTTGTTTGTTGGCTTGCATAAAATCCCGTACATGAAAAGCAGGTGCTTTAAAGTACATTGATGGTTAATATATTTCCAGTGACGTCAGCTTGAAGAGTAATTGTAAAGCGGCTCTTTGACTATTTAGCTTAGCAAATGTTGTGCAGAAAAAATCGTTTGTCTATCTACTTAACATAGATGTGACACCGACTCGAACAGCAACGTTCGAGACACGTATTGACACACATTTTGCAACACTGGCTAGCTGGGCGTATTGCGACTAATGTGACTGTATTAAGACCATGAAAAATGCTTGCATAATTGTCAAGTTATGTGCAATGATGAGCAGCAACTACTGTCAAAATCGACTGACAAGCCCACAAAGCACACCCAAGCACCCAAGCACCCAAACACACACACACACACACACAGAGACACAGCTATGAATAGTGTACTACATGAATGCAGCAAAAGAGCCGCAAAATCCACACAATACAAACACCATCCACACAAAGACACACACACATATATACACGCAGACAGAGCCTTACACATACGCACCTATTGAGCTGGCAATGGGCATGAGCGAGATAGACTGCGTTTGGGCTCGTTCGCATTTTTGGGCTCGTTCAATATTGAATACCGAAACTGAATAAGTGAATCAATGAAGTGAATAGTGATTAAATGCGAGTGAGTGTGCATGTGTGTGTGCGTATGTGTGTGTGTGTTGAGTGTGAGCGTGCATATGTGGAGCATCTCTGGCAGAGCTTACTGCTGCCCTTTCACGGAGTTCGCTCGCATTTGTGGGGCCTCAGCTCGTAAGCGTTTTGTGTGCCCGATTATCGATGCCTTTTGGCAATCCCACATTCCGTGTCCCTATTGACACAAGCTATCAATTGTATCGATATGTTGGGTTTGAGGTCATTTGCCTAAATTTCCATAATGTTTGATGAATAGGGCGATAATCGCTTCTCAGCTAAATGTTCATATCTCTAAATTTCAAAGGGGGAAAACGAGAGACAGATAGAGTTGAAGTGATGTATAGGTTAAGAGTGAAGAGAGAGAGAGAGAGAGAGAGAGATAACGAAATGACGAAAGAGGTATATTGAAAATAAGAGAGTGGGAGAGAGAAGGAGAGAGAAAGAGACAGAGGAAGAGAAAGACAGGGAGAGAATGAGAGGAGACAGAGAAGATAAGACTGGGATAGAGAAATATTGGTAGCCAACACACACATAGAGAGAGAGAGAGAAAAAAAGAGAGAGAGAGAGAGAGAGACTGAGAAAGATAAGGTGGAAAAAATAAAACACTGATAAAAAGAGAGGCAAGGAAAAAGATAGAGACAGACAATGAGAGAAAAATGATAAAATGAGAGATGAAAAAGTGAAAAAGTATGTAGAGAGAGGTATAAGATGGGGAAAAATGATAAAAAAGGAGAAGAGGGAGAAGAAGAGGAAGATCGGTAAAGATAGCGAGTAATTGAACGATTGGAAGAGTAAACTGAGACTGAAGACACACTAATCGACCCGGTTAAAAATAGAGAATGAATAATGAGAAAACACTCAAATGATGTCCAATCATATCTAACCTTTATTTAATCTTTACATGTTAATTACATTACAAGTAGGAGTTCATTAATTTTCATTTCTATTCGGTGACCTTGTATATTCACATTATTATTTTTGGAGTCTCTTTAGTGTATCCCTTTATATGTATGTAGTTTTTGCCAGCCATGATAGGCTCTAACATTGGGGATCAGTTAAAGTGTTACGATTGATTTCGGACTGCCCTCAGCCCGTTGGTGGGCTAATTTCGCATCGCTAGTGTCACCAGTTGCTGGCTGGCATCAATTCGCATTCAGCTCTGCCTCAGTGGTGCAGCAGCCTGGTCAACATGTAGGAACAGCAGACGTCAGCATGTTCCTGCGCCCGACACGTCATCTGCCCCTCGCCACTCGTTCCGTGTCCCGTGCTCCACGTTCCGCGTCCCGAGTCCCTCACTCCATGTTACACGCTCCAACCACTCCCCCTCCAGCCGCCCCCTGCCATTCGGCGCTGCTCTCTCGTGTCGCTGCACTCACTCGTGCATACATGAAAGTCAATTAAGCGTATTAAGTGCAACTGTTCATGTGTATGTGTGTTTGTATGTGTGTGTGAGTGTGTGACTGTGTGGGTGGGTGGGTGAGTGGGTCGTTGTATGTGTTGTGTGTTGCTGTGCTTATCATGGCATTTCTTGGCATTGGCATCAAACAACAAACGTTCCACCACATTCGGAACGCCAACCCCATTCGATGCACGGCGGCAAACAGGCTTCCCTTTCAACTGCTGCAACCCTTTTGAGTTGGGGACGTTACGCGACAATTTCCATCATTCGATTGCTAAATACATATACAAGTATAAATACATGTGTGTGTGTGTGTGTGTATGTGTGTGTGTTGGCTGTGTGTGAAATGTTTGCGGCTGATTGCGGTTCTTAATTTGCTTTAAGATATTGTACTTTGGTTTTGTCATCTCGTTTTCATATGATAAGTGCTTTACACTGAGCGAAAAACTCAACTGAAAAATCAAGAAAAACAAGAATTCGATTTCTTAAAGCTTTATATATCTAAATAATATGATTTATGCCTTATGATTAATGTGTAAATATTTATATAATCTATAAATTCTTATATTATTTAACAAGAAGAATATTTTATTATTTATAAAATAGAATATTTTACATAAACAGCACAAATTGTTATTATAATACATAATAATAACAATAAAAAAAATTTATTAATATATGATTTAAATATTTTATATAAATAGTTGATAATTTTTTAATTCATAATCTAGCTTACTTAAATTTTTTTTGTATAAAACTTAAGCTTCTCTACGGTGAGTTTTATATTTTAGCTGCTTTAATTTTATTTCCACCTTAAACACTTACAAATCTGGAAAGTATAAGTACATAAGGACGATAGAGATTATCTGCCCTCAGGTACATTTATGGATATTTGCTCCGAAATTTCTTTTACTACGAAACGATAGATTTTTTCTAGACAAAAATTTCCTTGAGCTTTATTTAGAAATAAATTTTGATGATGTCAAAGTTTTAATGTTAATTCTGAATATAAGTTGCTTGAAGGAAATATGACTTAAGTATATATGACTTTGGTTGAATTGTCTGTTAATAGGTTGACAAACTGTGAGCTTGCTCAAACAGCTTCAATTCATGGCTAGACAAATATTTTGCCATTCTCATTGGCTTGTTTTGCTTTTTCCGAATAATAGAATTTGTGACAGTTGGCACAGGGACAGGCACAGCCCCAAACACGGAATGCATCTCAAGTTGTGGCATTTACATATCTCACTTGTCTTATGACTGTGTTGTCTCTCTTGTTGCTGCTCCTACTACTCCTGCTACTGCTGCTGCTCCTGCTGCTGTTGCTTGCTGCAGACAACATTACGCATACGCAATGTTGTACGGGCAGTGCCTGCAATGCTTGTTGCACTGCCTCGGCAGGATAAGCTGCACACACACAGAATATCGTTGCTGCTGCTGCTGCTTCTGCTGCTGCAGCCTGCACCCCTTAGAGACGACACATGCGAGCGTCCTGGCCGCACTCCCCCGCCCTGGGGTCGCGCCTTTTCAAGTGTTAATTGTCGTATGCAAATTTTTGCGCATCCACAAAATGTAACAAAACACGATTTTGAAAGATGCAAATTGGGTGTTGCTGCTGCTGCTGCCGCTGCTGATGTTGGTGAGTCCAGTGAGTGTCAAAATAAGCTTTAAATTACGACATTGTTGCTGCTGCCCAACTGCAGGCATCAGCTCCAGCCTCAGTCCCAGTCCACGTCCCAGTCCCAGTCCCAGTCTTTGCCAGAAACGTGCGGCGTAATTTGCAACTGACAAGAGTGAAAGTTATGCGAAAGGGCTGCAAAAAGCTGGCAGGGCTACGGCTCGGATTGGGGGCGCCCGCACAGTCGACCGCACGTCTGCCTGCTAGCTGTAGCAAAATGTCACTTTTGGCCAGGATGCGCCAGGAGGTGGCCCTGGACTGGCTTGGACAGGCCGCATGCGTGATTCTGACATTTGATTAGGTTGCCTTTGTCGAAATGTTAATTTTTGCATTGAAGGTGCGAGGACACAAGACCTACTGCTGCCCCCTCTCTCACTCTCTCTCTCTCTCTCTCGCTGTCGCTTCCATTAGGCTAGACTCAATTGCGACATATTGTTTAGTGGCCAGTTAGCCGCAACTCTCGGATAATTATCGATCTTTCAGGCAATTTTAAATTCGAAATGCCTGCCACACTCACCGCACACACACACACACACACTAACACAGTTGGCAGCTGCACCTAATAAAGCAAACACGAGTAAATTTCCATTTCGAATGCGAAGCGTCATTTGCAAATTGAGACAAATTGCGGCTCAGCATTTACTTAAGGCAATCTCACTTATTACAAAATTGACAAAAGACAAACGCATAATTGCCATATAATAATCATAATCCGCACAAAGCAAACACGTTCAACAGACGTCTGCATGCCACACACACACACACACACACACACACACACACAGATACACACAGAGGCAACACACACTCTGGCAAAGACATTCAAATCCACATAGACGTAAGGCGTGTCTGGGCCTCTTCTTCAACTTGGCCACTAATTAAGAAGACAAACTCTAAGCTGTGCATACATATATACATACATATATATATATACATATTCATATACATATATACGTTTTAAAGCAAGAGCTTGCTTCAAGGATTTTCACTCCGAGTGGACGCTTTACTGTGCATTGGCTTACTTAGTTTCTATTGATGTTAGCCCACAATTAAAGTCCATTTAAAACGCTTGATTCCAACATGAGCAAGAGCTTAGCAAATGCGGCCAGCAATTTAACTGGCCTGGCTAATATTTACATGCTCATATTTATAATTTAGCACGTCAGTGCTGTTCAGCAAACATAAATATTACAAACTATCAGATTTGATATTTAAAGCGATTGGCTAGGGTAGCTCTGAAACTAGAGCAGCAGCAGCTGCCAAAGGGAGCTCTTCACCAAGAAGATGCTAAGGGCAGCTTTCGTCTTCATTTATAGCTGTATTTGGTATAATTAAGTTGAGCCTTAATATGGCATTAAATAACTCATATAACTAAGTGTGGTTCATAACTTTTCTGATGTCTTATTGGGAACCTTTGGCGTGTTAAAGATGACTAATAATTATCCAAATATTGTTTAGACTAAATATATGCACATGGGTATTAAAAAAAAAAAATATATATATATTAAATTAAGTAATGTATAAATTTGTTGTAAAATATATTTTTAAACAATATTTAAGCAAATTTCTGTCATCTTTAATGCATTAATTGATTTATTTATTTATTGATTCATTTATTTATTTATTTCTTTATTATTTCTTTATTTATTTACTTATTTATTTATTTTTTTTTTTTTTTATGTATTTATCTGTTTTTATATTTATTTATTTATTTATTTATTTATTTATGTATTTATTTGTTTATTTGTTTTTATATTTATTTATTTTTTTTTTATTAATTTATTTATTTAATATTAATGGTTACAGAGAATTAATTATAAATAACATTTTTGTTTAAAGCCAGAGCAACAGTCAAAGATCTATAACAGTTCCACTTTCACTTTTATTGATTTAAACCCTTAGTAAAGCTCCGCTAATTCCTTGTAGCTAAGGCCTCAATATTTGCATTTATCTAAATATATATTATATATATATTTTTTATCTTACCAAATTCAGTTGCTGTTCATTTGCACATACAGACAATATTAGAATAATCTTGTAGCTTTACTGAGTTCACAAATTTTTAGTAGAATATGGAAATCCTTTGTAGAATAATTTATTTATTAAGTTATACAGAAGTTTTGAAGCAGAACGTAGTGAAGTGACGGTGCTGGAAGAAACTTTGCGCCTCTTTGAAACCTATTGGTTAGCATGTATAGGTGGGATTGCAGTAAATTTTAAATACAATATCATTTAAAAATACATATATGTATTTAATATAATAATGAACAATATTGGTTTAAGCAGAGTTCTTTAATTTAAGCTGCGTCCACAACAAATCCATTCTAATCGCTTAAATAAATAGCTGATGAATAACTTATGCGAGCATAAAAAATACACACACACACACAATCACACCGCACACACACAATTTGTGAAATTTTATTAATTTTCCACTCGTTCAATTTGGAAATGGAAACAAATTTGAAAATTGTTGCCCAATTTGTAGTTTTATCACAAACAAAAGCTTTGTTTTCTGCTTTTATTATAAATTTTATTTTGCATTTTATTTTATTTTTATTATTTTTGTGCTTCTGCTGCTGCTGCTGCTGCTGCTTGTTGTATTACCGCAGAAAACGCTTGCAGCTATAAAACGAATGTCGACACAGCAACACCAATACAAATAACACCTATACACATATACCAACACACACACATAAATACAGTGTCACGCCCTGAGGCAGTTCTATGCTAGCGCCCACAATTGCCATATCGTGCAATGTTTTTTTTTTTTACCATTTTCTTTTTTTTTCCTATTTCTATATATTTTTGTTTTTCCTCATTTCGCCAAAAGTCAAACACGGAAAATTTATTTATGGTGCTGATATGGCAACGCCAGCAAAGTGCAGCTGGGCGCCGCTCGTTGGGCGGGGACGGAGGCGGGCATGGTCGTCTAGCATTTATGGCGGCGTTTAGAATTTTTCAACTGTTGCGCAAGGCATTTTATGAGGCAACCGAGAGCCAAAACACTCCAACCAGCCCCAAACCAACCGAAATGAGAAAAACTGTAAGGAAAAACGCATAAATTTTATGACTGACTGAACGATGAGGTGGGTCGCCGGAAGGGGCAAAGCACGCGGCGGAGCGGGGGAGGGGGAGGCGTTAGGTCTGTTGCACTCAAATAACTGTATAGACCGCATTTTCACACAAAAAGTGCGCCGAAATTTTCAACTAAATTATTCATTGAGCGCGCAATTGAGCTGGAAATGTGAACACACCATGTGTGTGTGTGTGTGTGTGTGAGAGACAGAGATAGAGAGTGCGGTTGTGCGAGCCTGCAAGTGCAGAACGTGTGTGTGTGTGTGTGTGTGTGTGCGGTTTGATTGTCTGCTTGCCTGCTCGTTGGCACTGTCTGGGCACGTAGAATTGGCGGCTGTTTGGCTTCCTGGTCGCTGGGGCAACTAAAAACATTAAAATAAAAGTAAGAAAGAACAGTTAACAGCAAAGTGCCGACAATTCAATGCACTTTCTAGCCGAATGCTTAAATTTGCAGCGACCACTAAAAGATATGTATATGATAAGCATATATATATAATTAAGTATATATATAAGTACAGTAGAGTCCCGATAATTCGAAATGCCAAGGGGATCAGCTTTTTTCGATTTACACAGAAATGCAAGTTATCGATAATTATTGAGCACGAATTTCTTTCAAGGGGATCGAATTTTTTTCGATTTATCGAGACTCGATTTTATTTGAGTTTAGTCAAAATCAAATATCATCATATTTAATACATAGAAACACATTTAAGTGTCTTGCATTTGATTTTGTAATAAATTTAATCATGTATTTTATTTGCATACGTAATATAATTTTTAGCCTTTAATAATAAGTAATATAAATCATAGTAAAATATTTGCTTAGGGCTTGCATTCCTCGATCTAACGAGCCCCCTGAGCTCTCAGTAAATGTTACCTATATACACTCCAGCTCTATGTTTCGTATGTTGCCACGCCAGCGAAGTATCCGGAGTTAGTGTAAGCCAGTACAAAAGAGAGCAGTAGATGTAGGGTAGAGTAGAGTAGAGTTGAGGCACTGCGATAACTCTAGTCGTGCATGCTACTCAACCACTTGACACTTTGTTGCAGGCCCCGCGGCTACATTTAAACCCAAGCGTACACACACACACACACAGAAACACTCACACACTCATGCAAAGGGAGACAATAAACGAAATTGTTTTGGCGGCAGCTCGATCCATATGAAAAATAATATAATGCGCGTAAAAAAACTGTTCTACCATTAGTTTTATCACTTCTGTCAAATCTGGAAGTGACTTAGATGACTTTGCGTAAGAGTATTACCATTAAATTGGTATTGTTATCGGTAAACCGATAATTATCGATTTTGGAAATATTCTAATAGTTATCCTGTTAATTACTAAGGCCTTAGATACATCTACAAATTAATCGGCCAAGACAACTGCGAATTGATGTCCAATACGATTAAATTTATTATACACTTTGTTCACATTTTACAAAATTTGTTAAGTTTACTTATATCTGCTTCTGTAGAGCGTCAGCGTAAAGGATCAATACAGTCATTTTATAGATACATTTAGCTGTTCGTAAATGATTTTCTTATATGACAAATTTGACAAATATACAGAGACCTTAGACTTACCTGTGAATACGGCGAAGAGCATGTGGAGCTGCCAGGACTTCGAATACGTATAGCCGATCAAGTGTATAATGAAAAGCAATAGGTAAATTGTAATGGTTAGGCTCACGAATATGTAGCATACGATATAGACTTTCAGAGAGAATAAATTTTCCTAAAAGCAATATTTCACATTGATAAGAAAAGCAAATTGAAGCGTGCGAGGCCGTTTCGTTACCTTCCAAAGTATGAGGGAAAGAGCGAGGCTGAGGCTTATTAATATAATGAAGAGTATTATTGACAGTGTTATTGTGACTTCGTCATTATCTAATCAAAGTGAATGAATTGAGCAAATCAGAAAGATCCGAGTACATCTCCGGATAGCATAGATACCTTTCGCAATCAAAATATAGAGTAAGAGACTTGCAACTACTACTTGCAAAACAATCGAAATGAAGCAGAGTATGCGGTAAACGGCGCGACCTGGCTTCACCCAATCAACCCATACGCACCCACACATCTCCAGTTTTAATGATTTGATAAAAATTTGTGATTTGAAGGCATTTTCCAGGCATTGTTTCTACACACTTTCATCCAAGTTGATGATGGTAGAGGTGCTAGAGCCTCTCTGTAGCGACTTGCGAAACCAGCTGTAATTCCAGGCTCGGGGTGGACTTAAGCTGGCCAAGTTGAAGTTTGGGGCTGGAGCCTTTCGACTAGACCAAATCTCGAATGCATAAATTAATGAAAGCCTTTTTTGTTGCAAATCAGACAAGGGAATTTGACACACCTCTCGAAAAGGATATGCGGGCGGCTCTGGCAGGGGCAGCTTAATTGCGTTTGCTAGTTGAAAGGCTGTGGGCGGGGCTGTGAGTGCTGTGGGTGTGTTAACTGACGTGATTTGCTGGGCATTTGTTGCTGGAGCGACCACACGGCTGTCTGATCAATTTGCTGCAACCTGACAGATTGAGGCAGCAGCAGCAGCAGTAGAAAATGTCATCATCGCATCCTTCCGTATCCTTGCGCCCTCACATCGGCTCATAACTCAGTGCCCGCCTCCTTCCAGTGCTGGCGAAAAGTGCAAAACTCATTTATCAAATGGTCAGCACGCTGACCTGCAGCTGCACCAATGGCAATGCCACAAAAAGTGCAACAATTGCTGTGGCGCCACTTTCACACATACAAAAAAATAAAAGAAATAAAAAAGGAAACCCAAAATGGCAAATAAAAGAGGCGCCAAGAGGCAAGAAAAATGGCCTCGTCCCGCCCCACGCCCACCCATCGTCGCTCGTCGCTCGTCGTTCGACTCTTGGCTGCCAGAACGCACTCATAAATCATAAAATTCCATGCAGCCCAGCAGCAATGGCGCCATCGTCATCTTTATAATCTGGCAAGGCATCGCCTGTCCCACCGCACACCGCACACCGCACACCGCCAACGAGCCAGTTGCAGTTCAGAAAAGGAATCGGTTCGGCATTGGCTCTATGCGGGCGTAACCGCTGGACTATGATGTTGCAATTTGTAGCTGGTAAAGTGTGAAATTGCGTTGGCAACGCGAATTGTTTTTCTTTTCCTTTCAATTTCCCTTTCTCATACACACACCCACCAGCAAATGAACTGCCGCTAGGGTTGACGCTAGGAATCCGTTGTAGTTCCGCATCTTTAGGCAACGTATAACTGTAAGCTTTGCAGCAGAATCAACTGCAGCAGTGCTTTTCTTTTTGCTAATTTGTTGTTGAGTGTAATTGATACACTGTGCCAATGGCTTGAGTTGAAATAATCAGTCAAATAATATTAGCAGAAATGAGCCCAAAAGTTGCTGAATTTTGGTATTTTTAATTACTTTAATAATTTGAGCAAATAAATCCCTCAGCTCTGTTTTATTTTTTTTTTAGTTTAAAAAAAGAAGCAATTTGTGTAGACATTTTAAGCAAAATGAGCGCACAAATAAATCAATTAGCTGCGTACAAATACCAGCTCCATTTCAGCTTGAGTCACCTGAGCAAGGATCTACGGTGCGTGGCCGAGCCACAACCCACGAGCTACGAGTGTGAGCGTAAAGTGTTGTCCTGGACGCGGCGGCTAATTGATATAAACGACTGTCTCCTACGGTTCGTAATGCCAGCTGAAAACCTGCGCAGCTTTCACTGACTTTGCCTTGATGAAAATTTATGCGACGCCACAATGAAAGTTGCAATTTTTTGTATTTATTTAAATTTTACTTTCCTTCTATCTTTTCTTTTTTTTTTTTTTTTTTTTCTTTATATTCTGTTCTTTGTGATTTTTAGCCATTTAGTCAAAGTTGTTTGGCTCAAGTTGCGCACAGCAGGACGTTGCCTAATGCAATTCAGGACATTTATTTGCACCTGTCGCTGGTTGCCTGATGGCCTCACTGCTCGGCTGCCTACTTAGGTTAAGCGATGCCTTCCACCAACTATGGAAGCCACTGACATGCAACAGAATTTATAATCATACACACACGCACACCCACACACCCACACACACACACACACACGCGCGATAGCACTTGCCACACCTGAACGATAAAAACCCACAAAATTTTGCGTGCGTTAGTTATGAGGGCGGTGTCGTCGCCGAGTGGGCGTGTCGATTGCATGACGCCCCGCATTTACACACACATACCCACACAGACATATACCTGCAGAAGTAACAGCATCCCAGCCCGAAACTCTCTGCATCCATCGTTGACGTTGTCTGGCAAAGTGCGTGTCTCGATTTCTACATAATTAAACCACTTGCCGTGGTACATGTTGCACGGCGCCTCCATCAGCAGCTGCACCAGCCAGCCACCCGGCCACCCGCCGCCCGCTGGGCTTTGGTTACGTGTGCGTGGCGCCACCACTTCCGGTTTGCGCCGGCTGTGTCCGGACGACCGGCAACGAGCAGCAACAACTTTGCCGCTAAACTTTTAATGCACGTGCACTGGCCAAAGCGAGCAGGAAAGAGAGAGCGACAGATCGGGAGAGGGGGGCAGGGAGAGACAGTGAGAGAGAGAGAGAGAGAGAGAGAGTGAGAGAACAGTAAGACGGGCAACCAACGGAGGCAAGGGAGGCTGACTTTTGGGTAACGGATTGTGGTAGCATTGGGCGGCATTCCGTTGGCAGCAATTGACATGGTAAACCTAGGCCAGCCGGCAAAGGGGTCGAAAATGTATTCAGTGCCGGCAACGCCACTTTGCTTTATAAATGTTGAACGGAACCAATGTTGTTCTATTTTACAAGATTTTTTTTCTTTTATTAATAAATATATTTTTAAATTATTGAACAATAATTACTTAATTTTTAGGGTTTGACATATTATCTTATAGATTATCTTTATGGATATGTGCTCTTATGTTAACAGCAATGTAAAGTAAATAATGAAAATTGAAAATATTTATTTTATGATGCATGAGAATCTTTGTCGAGCGGTGCGGCATTCTGGTTATACAATCTTAACATGAATTCAACCTCAATGCAAGAAGAGGTTGTCTAAAGTTGCTTAAGTATGTTATACTCTGCTAATTGCATTAAACACGTATTAAATGGAATATGAAAAAGAAATTAATCATATTTCGTTTAGTAATCCATGAAATTTTATATGTCATACTTCAATCTCAGTTATTTTACATTCACTATAAAGTAATATTGTTTTATTGAATTTGCTGAGCATAACATAATTAGGCTATGTTATTTTATGGGATTTTTAAATGTATTGTTTAATTATTTCAGCTCTGTTAGAGTTAAGCACTTGCATTTCTATTCGACTTGGACATTTTTGCTGGCTTTCACAGTTCTTATAACATAGTTTGTGCTTACGTTTATGCGAGTGTGTGTGTGTGTGTGTGTATGTAACTGCGTCTGCCTCGTTTGCACGAAAATTTGTTGGAATTATTTCGAGCAGTTCTAAATTTCGCAATAACGAGCCGCATTTGACGGGCATACAAATTGCATGCCTCTGTCCTGTAACTGGAGCTGGGTCTACTCCTGGTTCTTGGTTCGTCGCTGAACGCTTTGTTAAAGGCAAGTCAAGTGCGTGTGTGTGTGTGTGTGTGTGTGTGTGTGTGTGTGTGTGTGTGTGTGTGTGTGCGTGTGTATAAGTGTACGTGAGATTTTATGCTGCTTTGAACTTTCTTGGTCTGGGCCTCGTTTGTGGCACCAGCTAAAGAGCTGCAGGGCAGCCAAGTTGCTGGCCGGGATTTGTTGTTCAAAATGTTGGCCACATGGCAGATAGTACATAATTAAATAGCTTAAACATGCCGCCGAATCGGTCGAAGACAGCAACTAACACAATCATTTAACCAGCGCCATCTTCTCAGCAAATTCTGCAACTTAAGTAACAAAATATTTGTGCAAACTTTTCAATTTTTCAACATATCCTTTGGCTTGGGTTTTTTTTGGTTTTCTCTTCTATCTCTCTTGTGTGTCCTTTGCGTTGCCCAGTTCAAGCAAGCTGTCTCTCTCTCTCTCACTCACACTCTTTTGGTTTTTGTAACGAAGCAATCTTTTTGATTTAGCTATGGAGCCATTAACACGGATTGATTGCCCCCAAGGACAAGAGACGCCAAGTGGCTTAAAGGACAAGCGACACAGCTTCTGCTCCAGCTTTCGCCTGGGCTTCAAGATGATTTCGGCCATAGATAGTCGTGGGCAGGGAATTGTGGGCCAAGTGTTTTGTGCGCATACAGAGAAGAGTGAAAGTCGCCTTTTGCTTTATAATACTCATTGGCAGCATCATTTGCCGTAGTCGCTGTCCCCTGACATTTAGCAATTGATTTTAGCTTGCTCGAAGATTTGCCGCTTTGAATCTGCGAGCAGTAAAATTCTTATTCATATGTTAACATTATACATATATGTATATCTCAACGTGTATAAGTATTGCTATATTTCATTATTATACTATAAATAATTTACTATATTTCATTAATTGTATTAATTAATTTTATTTTAAATTAGTTTACCAATATTTTATTATAATATACAATATATTCTAATATATATAATAATGGAAAACAAAATCATATATTTATAATATAAGTTTCTGATTCTCCCATCTCCAAATCTGAATCTCAAATATCTAAATAATTTTATAGATATTATTAGATGGGAGAATCTAATTTGCGTAAATGTTTTCCAATGGATCCCAAGATTTATATTTCGTCATTACGAATTCTTTCTCAATTTTAGTAATGAGAGCTGTGAAATGGTGGTAAATTTTATTACTTTATTCATTAGTTGCTGTAGCTTGTGCCTATTGCTGCCAAAGCAAGCTAATATTCAAAACTTATCGATTAAACAATCGTAAAATGCTGAACTGAACTTTCGCTAAGCATGCTTACTCCCTCTCTCTCTCGGTCCCTTTCTCCAGCCATTCTCTCTCTCACTCTCTCTCTCTCTCTCTCTGTCACACACAGAGCCTGTCATGCTAATAAGAAACGCTTTGTTATGCATTTCCTTCCGCTTACGTGGCCTGACTTAAGGCGCATTTGCAAATTGAAGACGAAGTGCAAGTGCAATCAAATTGCGGGCCTCCGATAGGGGATGCAACTGGGGCAGGGTACGGGTCGAGTGCGGTAGGGTTGGGTATGC